AGCACTAACACAGAACTGCCTGACAGGAGCCTCTCAGTATTATAAGTGCCCACCATGCATGCTTAATCACGGCTAAATCAGGTATCCCACATTAGTGAGGAACTACGCTTCGCATGATATCTCCACATGTAGTGGAGCATATGGACAGCGAATGCACCACAACATGTCTTTATGATTCCTTTCATGGTGCATATCAAAGGATTAGTGTTGGCAAGTCACTGGTTCCAGTCTGGTTTTATTTACATCTAAAGGATCAAGTGGATTTAACTACTACTGCCATTCCACTGGACATGAAGTATATGGCAAATGTGGTACAAGTACATTCTCAGTATTGTAAGCAGTTGCAAGAGACGGACAAATGTTTGTTTAAAAAAACTTAAATGGTAAAAGACTTGGTTCATCACTTTGCACAGCAGACCTCGGGTTCAGACAAAACTTCAGGAATACTAAGAAATACTGAGACCAGGCTCCAACAAACCAGATCATGATCCTTGTGGATCTGTCATTCCAACCAAAGCCTGATGGCAAACTTGCATTAGCTAATTAGCACCAAGCTCACGCCACAGCGTAAAGTAATAATGAAGTTACTTTATTAATGAGCGTTAACAATGAGTGACGACGAAAATGGTGATGATGATACAAGTGCCTACGTTCCAACCACTACGTGACATAAAGAAACTCTGTGCATAGATAACCAGTTGGTATTAGTGTAATAGTGGTTATATCAGAGTATTACTTCATTTATCCTTTGCTGCTTAGGTGACAGCAGATAATTACAAACAAAGGCAAAGTCAAAAATGTTCTAAGACAGATTTTTTTGTTTCAAAAAGTGTCAAAGTTTGCTGTCTCTAACAGCTTTGTCAAGAAAACAAGAACATGTATGGAAACTTGTTAAAATTATTGAAGATGAAGAACACATACCAGTGTTCATTTCCGACTGCAGACAACAAAAAGGTTTAACAAGCAGTGTAACGCCAGCTGTGTTACAGTGCTTGTTAAAGTGTTTATAAATGAAGGATATGTACAGAAAAAAAGCTTTTCTTATTTTCCTAAATTCGTTTTTTTAAATTTGCTCATGACATTTTTGGCTGCATATCAGCAGTAAATTATTTTTTTAAATACCTACATAGAGGGACTGACCCATATGGGTTTTCTGAGTATGAGTTTTCTGCATACTTTGCAACCTAACAGAGAAAATGCTGGCTGGGTAATTGCAAGTTAGCATCTGTCATTTTAGTGCAGGGAAGGAAAATATACATAGTTCAACCTGGAGTCATGGCAAAAACCAGAGAGAAGGGATGGTACAGAGTTCAGTTTTAATGCCCCAGTTGCACTTTTGCACATTTCTGTGCCATGATCAGACCCAAAAACAAGCAGGAAAACCCCATCTCCACCCTGCTACCTCATCACTGCCACCAGCCACACAAGAACACTGTGCACTCTGTGTAGTAGTGCAGCCAAATATAAAACCACAGGCAGAGGTGCAGGATATATAATCAGAAACTCCTGACTTCTTTTTTCCACATGGAACTTGGGATAATTTTGCGTTTACTTAAAAGTGTCATTAACCACAGTTATTTGACCAAAAATAGAAAGCCTGCCTGAATAACTGGGGCTACGTTGTGCTGCCAGGTGGTGCCACTTAAGTTTTTAGGACAGACAGTAAAATGCTCTACAGCGAGAGGTGCCTCCAGCACGAGACAAAAGATGTCCAGACAAAACCTCAAATCAACTGTAAAATATGTCATTAGCCTCATTGTCTTCTAGAAATATTGACCCGGTGATTCAAATAGTTTTCAAATAGGTCTTGTACACTGACAAGATGGCCTTTGTGAGTCCCAGCTGTGGGGTGCACAGAGGACCCGCGCTCTTTCTGAAAAGACATGACTTATAATGAGGTTGTCTGGGGCTGTCTCCTCTCTGGAGATGGCAGTAAGCATGACATGAGCAAAGAGGGAAAACGAGTCTTTGCAAAAACACAAGGAACTAAAAATATCCAAAATAGCTGGTCATCATTGTCCTTCTCAATAAAATAAAGTAAAATGGAGATAAAAATGATCTGCATTTGGCTGAGAAACACCTAAAATAGAGGCAGAGTTCCCTTTCTGGTCTTCATTTAAAACTTAAAACTGCACAATAAAACAGAGATTATACATTTTAAGTGATTGCATTTTCTATACTGCAGGATAAGTGTATGTCTGGGACAGAGGCCACACCTCCAGCTTCCACCAAGACATCAGACAAAAGCCAGTCTGGCAACCATAGCTTTAACTGCTGTGGATTCCTCAGCATCAAACACGATGTAGTGTAATGAGTAATTCCACTTCAACGTGTGCAGCCATGTTTGCTTCTTCCTTGTGTCTCTCTCTAAACCCTGCTTGGAAAATCTAACATCTAAACTATTTTTTTCTGCATTGTGAACTCTAATTCATAAAGAGAGTTTCAGGTTATTCTTGTACCTCCAGGTAATTACACAAAAGTAACGATCTACTCTACAATTTAAAATGCCTTGAACACTGAAAATAAACTTTGCCCATTCCTGAACTGTAGTGACGACAAAAGTCTGATTACAGGACTTCTACACACATCCTCGCACCTTAATGGCAGGGGGGGGGGGGGGGGGGGGGTTGAGAGTTGCAGTAAGACAGTGGACAGTGCAAAACTATGTAATGTATACTAGCTGTAAGATGCAGCATGTTGTGCTGAACTCAAAAGACATACCAGGCAGCGCACATGTAAATAAATGGGATAAGTTTCGAGGATCAAAGTCGAGAGAACACTTTGTTCTGGGGCCTTTGTTGAGTAGTGGTTGAACTCCCCCCCCCCCCCCCCCCATCAGTTTTATAGAGGTGCTTGTCACAATCTGACTGGAATCCATTCTCTCTTAACTCTGCTAGTCGAGGCTGAAGGGAAGTACACTGTGAGAGTCTGGCTGTGTGAAAGCACTGCATGGTTGGCTGAGACAGCCCGGGATGAACTCAGATGACCCACATTCGGGGACCAGCCAATCAAACAGGCAGAATTAGCCGTTATTATAAGAATTTATGAGGCACAAACCAATGGTGAGGCCAGACTTCTGGAATATATGCATGCAAAAAGAAAGGCAAAGGAAAGACTTAATAGGCAGGGAGACATAAAAGTGTCCTAAAAAACACATGGTGGAGGCTGGAGGGAAGCACGCCGAGCTGAAGGCTGGCACACTGCTGTTCATTTGGCCTGAGACAAAGCAGCTGAACAAAGATGAGTCACATTTTACCACGATCCAATCACATTAGTAGAAGCTGTCCCCACCATCAGAAATACCAAGAAACAAACAAGTCACATAAATGAAACCCAAAAGTGGTGATCCTAAATGAAGCAAAAGATCAAATATAAAAATCACGCCCAGCTTGGAGATAGGAGACAAAAGTGAACTAAAACGCTGGGATTGATTATTAATAATTTAATTCTCCTGGCAAATTCTTAGTTGCATCAGTTTTCTGCTCCCTCTGCCCTTTCCTTGCTGACAGTTTGTGCAGTACAGCTGTACAGTTTAAATTGCAGTGAAGAGGTTTGAATTGTGTCAATGGAAAAAAAACAAGTGACGACAATAGCATTGCTGCAACACAGGGGATGTGAAAAAGCCAATATAAACTCACAGGGGTTGGTCTGCAGTGAGATATTTTACAAGCATATGGTTTCCATATGGATTTATACTATGAGATAGTAAAAGAAATGAAAGCCCACTAAAGTTAGAGTCTCATTAGCAAAGAGATGGGAATGTAGCACTGTGAGGGATTCATACTGAATATTTTCCATTTGAGACCAAAGCTAAAAGTGTGTCTCAAAAAGATGACGGTGCTTTGTTTTTGCACATCCTGTGCAGCAACTACAGATATATGTCAAGTTCATACAAGGCGTTCCCTGTGTGATCCAGGGATGTGTGTGTGTGTGTGTGTGTGAGGGGAGTGGGAGCTGCAGTCTACACAACAGCAGCAGAGGAAAGGAGGAGCAGGAGAGGCTCGTGAGTCTAGGCTCTGCTAGCTGAGTCTGTTGCTGGCCAGATCAGCTGGCAGTCTGTCTTGTGGGGGTGTGGCACATCACAACAAAGAGCTGTGGACAGGCGGGAGACTCTACGGCTCTCGTCATAAACCTCGAAAATTCGAGTCGATTCACATCATTTTATTTCCCATCATATTTGACACACGCCTGTCCTGCGGAAACGCACGGCGCGACCACCGCGATATGCGGTCCTTCCGGCCGCTCGTGCGTAAAGACGCCGTTGACCTGGAGCCGATAAAACGCATCTCAATATTTCCTGTCTTTTTGTCTCTGCAGTGTGCGTACAATCCCTGACTACTGGACATGTCTCTAAAAACTTTCATGCACGCGCAGTTTTATTCCGCACCTGTTTATTTGTGGCATTTTTAGTCACCACATTTCCCCCGCAACCGTGTGCGTACACGTTTGAATGTAAATGTATAGATTTGTGATTTAGTTCTGCACCTGGGTTTAACTTTACACTGTGGGGTTTTTTTTTTTTTTAAAAAGCCACTGTCGTCGTTGCTGTTGTTGTCTTGGTGGGGGCGCAGAAGGACTGAGCTGTGACAAAGCTCTGAACTCTTGAGTGGGAGTGGCACTGTTTTCACCTCCCCCCCTCCTTCCCCTCTCACTATCTCACTCCCTCCTCCTCCTCTACCCGAAATTAAAATGACATTACACTAAAGTTCATCCAAGTTAATGCAAAAACAAAAAACAAAAAAAAAAACGCCGTGGTGCAAATGTGGCGACAGTGTCCAGTGTGAGTGTGCGGTGCCTCTGCTTCACAGTGAACCAGCGAATCTTTACGCATATGACCGACAGTCGGTGTGGGAGGCTGGGAGCCACCTGCTCTAACTGTAGCACAAACACTGCCCCCTCAATGAAAACAGAATTACAATTCCTGCCTTAAATGCCCTGCTCTGACAGAAACCATCATAAAGTAACAAGAGTAAGACTTTGCAGCATCCGCTGGCACTGACCTGTGTGTGTCCTTAGATGAGCTTTGAGGTGCGATGATTTGCCATAAACTTTTTCACACCCTGAATAGTGGCATTTGTGCTTTTTCTGGGGTGACTCTTGCTCCGCTCGACTCCTCGATCTTTTGCCTCTTTGTCTGAGCGCAGGATCGGAGATGCTGGTAGGTGTGGCAGACTTTCCATCACCATCAACACCACCACCATCGGCATAAGCTTTGAGGTTCGGCATGCTCTCTTCCTTAATTTTGGCCTGCTCGCCAACATTGTTGGGAGTCTGCTGGTTAAAATCCGCCAGAATTCTTGCCACCACAAACAGAGAGGAGTTGTCTTTCACCAGGCTCTCCTTTATTTCATCAGCGTTTCTAGAGGAGGACGGGATCTCTGGTTTAATCTCCCTGTTCCCTTTGGGAGCGTGGACAACTGCGCGACTGGACATTGAAACAAGGCACTCTGCTGCAAAGCGGTGATCCATTCTGTCGTTCAAGCAGCTCATCTGCTTTTAAGGACTTCAAAATGATAATTGAAAAATAATAAGAAGGGTTGATAAGATGTTACAAAAGTACTTGATCCGTGGTTCCCTTTGTGTGGTAGCGAGGAGAAGGTGGCGGTTCACAGCTGAGAAGTGACTTTAAGCTCTTACCCGGCTTTCCAGTATCATCAACATCCTGTGTGAGAAACGCCTTGAACAAAAACATCAGACAAACCCCTCCAGATAGAAAGGGAGAGATGGAGGAGAGAAAACCAACCAAAAGTCTTTTGTTTAGTGCAGCGAGGCTGGAAACAGGAACTCTGCACACTTGGATGTGTTAACTCCCATCGCGGCTTCTAACGCTCCGGCATAGTGAGTGTGCGCGTCTCCCGAGCGCTTGTTCCTGCTGCTGGTATCCTTGGCTGGGGGCGTGTCGACCGGCAGCAGCATCGTCAGAGTGGCCGCTCATTCATTGGGCACCGCGTGTCCTCAGATGCACCGCACAATCTGAGTTGCCTGAAAGTTTCCCCCACAGGTTGCACACGAGTGAGACGGTTGTCTGCGTGCACTGCAGAGAGGGAGAGAGAGAAAGGGAGAAGGAGAGAAAGAGGGAGGGAATCAGGGAAGGAGACACAAAGGTAGCTGGATTATTCCGCAGCATCCTGTCCATGTCCTTGTTCAATCCTTGTTTCTTTTGTTTGACAAACAGGCGGCGACAGAAGGACTTGATGTGCTTTTAAAAAATAACGACGAATAGATATCAATCAATTGTTCCCAATCTTCCAGTCTGTACACTCTCCACACATGTTAGCACCCCAAAACGCAATACTCCCCAAAATACATATGCAAAGAGCAACACAGCAGTTTCTAAAAAAAAAAACCATTAGGTGTTTGTATAAAATGTAAGGCAGGCAGCACTGAATCTAAAAGAAAACAACAGCCATACAATAACCTCCCCCTTCCTACCGTTGTTTTTATGTTGCTCCAGGAAGTGCATGGTGATGCATTCATGAGCAGTGACATAACCCTCAGTCTGATTTGGTGGTGCGAACAACATTCCCTAAAAATCTGTTAAGGCCAAAGAAAGAGAAGCACAGTGGGTTTGTGAGCCTGGACGAGACTGGCTATTAAGAAATAATTTATCTCTAATAAAACGTGTTAAGTTTTCAAATTTATTTTTTAATCCATATGGGATGTAAGTTAATATGGATCAAAATGGCCAAAATTTAAGTATCGTGGCATTCTGTGGTTTTGAGCCCCACAGAACTGCAGAGCCGTGGTCGACATTCGCCTGACCAACCACACTGTCAAGATGGCTTCCATGAGACAGACACTTGAAGAGTCTGATCTTTGGACTTTCAAGGTATTTGGACTTCCTGGTTCATGACAACCACTGGGTGTTGTGTGCAACATTTTTGTCATGAAGTAAAATGCCCCAAGCTTCAAATACAACCGTTCAATGACAAAAGAGGAAAGAATGTATTAAAAGAGGAAATGTCACACAGGAGCATTTAGACCACTGAGTTGCCTGATCTAAAAACACGTTTCATGACATTGGAATTCCCACAGTGAAACAGATAAATGCAAGCACAGAAAGTGTGATGCATCAAAAGGGTCTCAATATGTGTCCACAAAGTTTGCAGTCTAATGACAATGGCCATAGTGTGAATCATATTGTGTGGGCTACTCTGACATGTGGGATATAGTATTAAAAAATAGCCATTTTTATTCAAACCTTTGTTTGTTGGCTGTTTTTCTGAACCCTTGTCATTATACCAAACGGAATAATGTGATGGTACATTGCATGTTTTTAAATATTTCAGGACATAAGAATAATGTGATGGTACATTGCATGTTTAATATTTCAGGACATATTATTTGTATTTTTAAAAATATAAATAGAATGGCCTGAAATGTTCAGTTTCTGTGTTTTCATACACACACATGGAGGGGAGTCAAATCAACAGATCAAAGTCCAGGGTAGAAGCAGCTGATGACATTGATTATAAACAAGGACCAACTTGAATATCCTCACTAACCCCTGGAATCCAGATTTTACTGCTTAGATGATGAACAAAGTAAAATTCTGTTTGGTACAAAATGTTCTCAGGGATCAGTGTCTGCCACTCTGCAGCTCCTTCATCTGGTATTGTTCCATAATAAAAGACTAGTTAGCTAAAACTCTTTGCACACCTTTAAAGGAATAAGAACCAAATTCATCAGTACTAAGATCATCTGTGAAGATCAGATCCGTATGATCTCCTGTATGACTGAATGCACAATTTCAGCAATTGACAAAAGCCCACACAAGAGAGTTCCCAGTGTTCAGCGTGAGCACGGCATTCAGAGGGCCATCTGGCTGTATTATTTTACATATTCTTTCAACAGTGAAACACGGCGTTCTTGTGTTTCATGCGGTGCTTGGGTGATCTGTTCGACCGAGAGTACGTCAAGAGGGTGCAGTTCCTCTTTCACAGCATTATTTCTCAAAGCTGTGTAGAAATAGCAAGTGTCTATCAATTCCCACAGGGTGTCAACTAAGCACGAGAAGGCAAGAATCTGCTGCAGCTCTAAAACTAACAGGCAACAGTGTCTCTCACTCTGTACCTCTGCAGCAATCTGATTTCCACATCCCAGCACCAACTCCCCAAATGCACAGTGTCCAAACAGCACAGTGTCATGTAGTGACATAGAAGTTCTGAAGCAGGAAGAGCTGTGCTATCGACCTGTTCACTGATGTTTGTATTGGGAGATCCTGTTTAAGTACAAGCAGGACAGCCTGACCACTGCGGTTCTGATGGCCTTTGTGAAAAAGCCAGGCAGAAGTAAAACAAAGAAGCTGAAGAAGTAAAAAAAAAAAAAAACCACAAGTGGGTTTTGTTGTTTTATTATAGACCTGTGAGAGTTTTGTTTCTGTCTACAAAAGGTGCTGATGTTCTAGATCGTCTTTTGGAAGCTTCTGCGCTGTTTGATCCCAATGTTAACAACCCACCATGAGATCAGCCAGTCATATATGCACATCTTGAAGCGTTGAGTTTTACTGTTTGGTGAAAGCAGTGGGTGGAGTTGCAGGAGATATTTGTGATGGTTCTTAGTGTGAATGTGAGAACGGGGAGGTTACTGTGCGTGACATCTGCTGTCATAAACTACAGAGCAGAGATAAAACAGTCAATCATTTATTAAGTACTGAAGAACCCTTTAAAGACAAAACTATGGTTCCCAACTGCGCCATCACAGATGCAGGGTTCACAACCCGAAAGTAGGTTCTGGATAAAACCATTGATATCAAAGTTTGTTGTTACTGGAGAAAGAAACTCTTTGACTACTCACAGAAGTTCACTCCATTTGTTGTGCTGTTGCTGCTTTGTTCAGGGGTAGGAAAGAAGCTAAATTGAGTTTAAATTATTGTCCAATAGTGGACTATTTTCAATGAGGAAACCAAATCAATAAAAACAGCCTCTTAAAAGACCAGATTGATTATCTTCTCTAAAAAACAGAGCTTGATTGTATAGCCCTAGTAAAGAAGCAAAGACACAATTCTAGATTTAGTTCAAATAATACTAAATCCCTAACAGGCATTTTGTTAGGAGAAGTGTAAACTTAAGTGTAAAACTGAACAGCATCAAGATTAGAGATAAATAAATGAATGTAAACTTAGTGCATAAGTAAATTTCATCAGCTCCAATGCACTTTAAATTTTCTTTTTTTTTTTCTTTTTTGTGAATCAGGGAAGTATTAACACTGAGGTTTTTCATGTAGTTTTCTTTAGGTTTTTTTGCCTAAAGGTTTTGCCTAGGCGTTTTGTTTTATTATTATGGTTTTTCATGTAGTTTTCTTTAGGTTTGTTTGCCTAAAGGTTTTGTTTTATTATTATTTTTTTTACATCAGACCAACTACACTGTAATACTGTTGTTGTCATTGTTGTGCATAGACGCAGCATAGACAGTAGCCAGGCATCCTGACTAATGATGACAAAACAGGCAGAAATTACACCTGGTTTATAAATCTGCACGGGTCAAACAGTTATATAAGCATTAAATAACACAGTCGACAAGGTCAAGAGGAGATACTATTACCTTCCCTCTCTGTAATACTAAGCATACATGCCCGTGTTTTGATAAGCCACAGGTGAAATATGGGTCTTTGCTATTGGGATGATGAGTGAAAACAAGCAGAGGATTACGTGCGGTGCCTCATCACATGAGGCCAGATGAGTCAGTCAGGTGTAGCTGACATGACTGAACTGTGTTATTGTAACAAAGTGCAGCCTCCCTGCCGTCTAGCAGGATGTACTGGTTACAGTGTTATTGACTCCTTATCATTACTGTCAAAACATGACCATTAGACACACATGGTGAAAACAGAACACAGATACGTAAGTTGTCAGTCAGAACAACAGTGAGAGCCAAATATTCACTTGACACATGACTAATGAGACCAAGAGTACTCGCTGCTTCTTTATGCTAGAGTCAAAAGTCATTCAAATGGAAAGTTATTGCAACTGAAGAACTAGGTTCCTGTCCAAAGGTGTGACTGGTAGAAAAGTACCGAGATTTTAAAGGTGGAGCTTCCCAACACTCCATGAACAAGGCCATGAACCGATAAAGACATACTGTAAAAGTAGATTACAGTAGATAGGGAGTTTAGTGGTTCCCAAAAGTCAAAACTTAATGTTATTTTAATTTAAAACATTGGGTTCCTACAAAAGCGTTGCCCTAATTACACAAAGTAAATACAAACCAAACCATATTATTACTGTGGCATAAATAAATAAATGATCACTGGGCTGGCAAACACCCTGCGGGGCCTGCCCCTCACATTGGGAACCAGTGAACTTGTAAGTTAAGGCTTATTTGAGTTAGGACTTATTTGCAAAATCATCACAAGACCTTCACCACAGTGGTACTGCTAGAAACCATTTTAAAGGGGAACTATTTATTTTCCTGATAAATTGTTTGTGTTGCAACAATGCTAAAATGTCTGGGAAATGTTTGGCCTCCACTGTGTGTCTTTTACAACAACTAAATGAATGAAATTTCTTTTTCACATTTTGGCTTGTGTTTTATTTCTAACCTGCTCTTAACTCACACAGGACACATGATATCTCTTAGATATCTCCTCAATATCAACATACACAGCCAATGTACACAGTAGACACATTCTATAATGACAGCTAACAATAAATATCTAAATATCACACATTCTATAATGACAGCTAACAATATATATCATAATAAATCTGTGTGGTTTTTTTATTAACCAAATGTTATATTACATTCTGTGACTATGACTAATCAATCACTTATGAGTAATCATTCAGTTTCAGGTCTTATGCTAAGTTCTTATGAGCCTGTAAACGTTGCTCATTTTGAACACAAACAGATTATTGCCAGCGGGTAAACATGACCTTCAACAGTAATTGTGCTCAGAAAAGCGGGGAGATAAACCCCAGAAAAGCAGTGCAGACCAGATTGTAAACATGCTGTTATGCAGGTGTCCTCCTTTAACAAAGACAACAAGTAAGTTGAGACTGCAAGAAAGGTGAGGAGCAACTGCACAGTCTGCTGACATAATGAGGCACTCAGAGGCGCCTCGACTCTGAGGCATCCTGCAGGAAGAGGGTGGACCCTGAAGGGGCTGGTGAGGGTGGAGGTGGTTACTGCATCAGTTCACACAAGGCTGGTTGGGTGTTTGTTGTCATGGAAGGAGTTCAGTTTGGTCGTCATCCTCCCTCTGACTGCGCCTCCAGGCTCTCCATGTTCATCCACACAACAGAAGCAGTACTTTTCAACAGTATGTTAATCCTGCCTGCCTCCCCCGCCATGGTGCAGCCTCCCAAGCACACCACCACAAAGAACTGAGTGCACTCCTTAACAGGACGTGTTCAGTTGTTTACTGGCATGAAGTTAGAAAAGGAAGAGCCTGCTCAAAACAGTTGTTTTATCTAGTGACGTTAATACGGAAAAACAGTCATGTATGCAACGCTGACATCAGAATCCACGTCAGTCTCTTGACCCTGGGATAGCAATGAGCCATGAGTTATGTACTGCCATCTTTGTCCTCTCACATAACAGCATGGGGCCTTTGTCCTCTTAACACAATACAGCTCAAAAGAGCAATGTGAGGCAGACCCAGTTTAGTTTTTTTGTGCCTATTTGCTGGTCTGTAGTATTTCTATTGAGAATTCATTGATGCAGTGGCAACGGTCCCCAACCATTTTTGTACCAAGGACCACTCGCCTGGTGTCAGCCATCACTACGGAACGGTAATACCTTGCCATCGTTGAAGGATTATTGCATTTTCAAAATAAAAAAATATTTTAGACTTCACTGTTAGTATCAGAGTCTGAATGATGTATTGACCACTTATCTACTGCACTTGAATAACAAATCAGGTAACAAAAATAAAATCTAATCCAGCTCAGTGTAATGCAGAGGTCCAGGGTTACATGGAGCTGTACACCTCCAGCAACGCTGCGCCAAAAACATTAGCCCATTGTGAAACATTAACGTCTCATGAGGAAATGTTACACCTGTGTGGTCTCTATGTTAAAACTGTATACATACACATATATATTTCTGTGTTGTTTACCTTCATGTAATCATTTGAATGGAAATACAGCTGTGGTCCCCATTAATTAAATACCAGTATTTTGTAAACATTTAAATGTGTTTTGTTTCGATTTCGTGTGCAAGGTAAAACTTGTTTGAAGTTTATTGGTGTTTGTGCAGTTGACGTGCACGTCTTCAACCTCAAAGTAGAGCACACGGAGAAAAAACAACCAGGCTGAATTTCACAACATACGATTTCCAGTGAGGCGCCCTGACATCACATGGTTGTTTTCACCGCTTCCACCACACTGCGTTCTAAAGTCACCGGGTTCACCAGTGGGCGAGGCTCCACGCAGACTGTTACGGCGCGCGCACACACGCTCACACACGCACACAACCTCTGCCCTGGTGCCTGAACCACGCTGACCGCAGGGATGCGCCCGGCGCAAATGGCACCGGACCGTTCCCAGCTTCTCCCTTTCAAAGAATCCAGCCTGTCACTACTGCCTCCACAGGGGACATGCGCCGTTTATCCTCAAGTGACCCCAGTGCAGTAGCGAGAACATCCCGTTCCTGGGATATTATTAGCTCACCTGACGTCACCAAAGCGTGGCGGACCATTTTTGCTAGACACGCAACGGAGCCACAAAGTGTGCCAGCGACACATTTCCCTCCTCAAGCAAACATGGTAATGAAACAGACAGTCATCACCGCTTTGCACCAGCTGTCTCTACTGTGCACTACAACTAACGTGATCACCACTTGGAATCGCTTCGCACCGTGTTATTAAGGTGGCGAACTGACAGCAACTTTGATATGAGACGTTCAAAGTCCAACACTGAAGGATGACACGTATTCAGCGACAAATGTGATGGAAAAAATAAGTCAGTCTGTAGAAAAATAACTCACTGAGTTTTCTGACAAGGCCTGAGCCACAGTTGATGATCTGAGAGCCACAGACCACAGTTCACAATAAGCCATATGTTAACTAAGTCCCTTCCCCCCTGTTGCTCTGCATAGCTGCAAAGAGGGGAGGGAGAGAGGAAGGCCGGGTGTGTTGCTATGTTTCTGTGGGAGTCTCCTGTCTAGAGGATCTATGGGCAGGCTGATTCTGAAGGCTGACATGGCAGTAGTCTATGTAGGTCAACTACGACGCAATACACTCAAGCAGCCCCCAAAGTGTACTGATAAATATGATACCCCTGTCAAGTGCTATTAAATGAGCTCTTATCTTCATTACAAGTTGTGGTGTGATATATAAACGTTAAACACAAATTGTAGTTCATTCATCCTCCTACCTCGACATCCTTTTCAGAGCAGCTCCTAGTGCCAGCAGTCACTGGGTGAGTGCAGGGACGTTGGACAGTTTGCCAGTCAATCACTGGGCTACAAAAGGAGACAAACAAATGTTCACATTAGGGATTAGGGATGATATTAGCACAATCATGTACAATCTGTAAAAATCTGTTTTTCCTCCGATAATGAAAACCTAATGACCAAATATCTGGGTTTCCCCAAATATGCTGAAATTCCTTGTGGAATTCCTGAGACGTTTGCCACTGCATATACTGGTACCAGTTCATATTGGAATCAGGACGTGAGTTTTTTTTGGACAAATTGGAAAAAGGAGGTGATAATGCAGAGAACGTGTGAAAATGATTTGTCATGATGTTGCATCAAAATCTGAGTCACCCCATTATAGCCTCACAGATCTCACCCACAGACAGGGTGCTATTGAAAGATCCAGCTGTCAATCACATGCAGCATCCACTCACAATTACCACCTTACTTTATTTTCACTGACAATGCCGCCTCCCTTTCTCTTTAAATGTAATCATAATTGACCAAACTCATATACATGAGGAAAAGAGACTTGAAAATGAACGGTTCAGATTACAGGCTACACACTGTAGTGTTGAAATCCAATGCAGAATTTTCCTTTCATTTAGCCTCACCCCTGTTCTTATTTACAGTCTGTGAAGAAAACATGGCATTCCAGAAAACCAGATTATTGTGATTCACCCTCCTACCTGTTAGCAGTTGTCTCACATTACAAGAGCTGCGTTGCCGTTGTGCTTCCTCCTCACAGGCAAGGCTTGCAACGCTGTCCAAAAGTGTGATTTTACCGGCTCTGTTCTATTAACAATCTTGGCCCAGTAACTGAGGCCTATCCCAACATTTTGTGTGAACACGCAGTATTGTTGCTGTACAAATTTTTGTTCCATAATAGCTAGTCTGACAAGCTGTCCTAGAAATCCTTTGATGTTTTGTTACGCCTCAACTGTAATCCTTTGTTGATTGCAGGCTGATTCTTGTAGTAACAGAATACAAAGCTAATTGTTCATTAATTATTGTAACATGTTGTCTGACTCAGAAGGACGTCAGGACTCTTGTTATCAGTTCTGCTCCCACAGGTTTCTGTTCCCACATTTGTTACTGTAAAGGTGAAGGTTTTATGTAATGGGCTAACTAGCTACCAGAAACCGGGGAGTACAGCTAGCATTTAGGACAGCAATAAATCAAAACAATATCCATCTATGTACTGTAACTACTACCAGTGTAGGTCGTCTAGTTCATCACTACTGATGGTGTATCACAGTGGTCATCAACAGGGGACCTCCAGCCACTAGATTGTTCACAAAGCCACTGCAGCAGGGCCATGACGTTTACCCAATTAGACATTTTCATACATATATTTTTTTTAAACACATTTTTTGACAAATGTAATTTTCTCCAAATAAACTTCAAGATCTAATCAAGATGACTGATGGTTATCAGTTGAAGTTAATTACAGGTGTGTTTATTAATGTATTGTTACAGCCACACTAAAAATGAATATACGAAAGAAAATCTAAAATAAATATTTGTACTGAATGTAGAATAACTTTGACCATACCTTCATCAGTTTTGGGCTCGAAAAAACGCTGAAGGCCAATGATGTATTTTATTCTAAAAAAAAAGGGAGAGAAGTGTTTCTGTTTACTGTGGCAAGAGGTAATAACCAATGTGTCAAACTAACAGAGGTAAGATGAACAAAATGTTTAAATGTTACACAGAGACACTGATATTTTAATGTTACACTATGCTGCATCTTTACCGATATATCCGCAGTGATATATCCTTTAAATTTCTTTCAATCTTTATGCGTTGTGTACTGACAACACTGTAAACTGACAGACTGGCACAACAGCCTCACACAGTTTGTGTCACTGGTCACAAGGGTGTTTCCTATGTTAAATCCTCTCATTTTATTCATTTTATACTGTGGCTGTATTGCATAAGCACACCTGCATCAACAAGTAGAAGGTCCCAGGCGTTCACCACAGGAAAGGCACCAGGTGCTTTCAGATGCCAGATGACACATCGCATGGATTTACTGAGTTAATGCCCACATTCACTACTGCAGTGTTTCCATAGTCTTGTTAGACCGAGGGTGAAGTAAACAAATGTTTTGCAGTACGTTCCTTCACAGTCCTAAACATTTCGATGGCCTGCCACAAAATATGAAATACAGTTTAGCTCTTGTCAGCTGATTTGGTTTTGTATGTTGTTTATAGATCCTAGAGAAGAATCATGGCAGCGAAGGAGGACATGACATGGTTGGTGTAACAACGGAGGAGGCAGGGGACTGTGGTGGTCTATGGGGAGGGAGCAGTCAACAGAAGTACATGATTTAACCTTCTGAGGCTGTAGTCTAGCTTCATCTCCTGGAGCTGGCCCCTTTTCTTTCCTCCTCTGTAGAGAGCATTATGCAAATTAAAATAGAATTTAGATAACTATAAATCTAAGCTGACATTTTATTGCTACTAAGAACTGACAACAAAGGGCTGCTGATGTCCTGAGCTAAGGTTCAACCACTGAGTTCAAGCGATAGCTGAATGGTCTCTAACAACCCCCGCTGTAGAGTTTTGGGAGCCTTACACAGATCAATCCACGCACATGCTTTGCTGCAAGGGTTTTAGTGTCAGTTTTGGCTCAGTCTAACCCCGCTTCCTGCGCGGGTGTGAGAAAAAGATTGTTTTGCTTCAAGGGAAATTGTTTGATTTACAGTTCTTAAAAGACATATAGCTGTAGATGCTAAAAATGAAAGCAGAAAAGGTGTGTCAGTGCTTGGAACAAACTCTGAAATGTATTGCTTTTGACGAAAAATTCCAGGAAGCTCAGTAAATGTGTGTAAAAATACAAATCAAGAGTCGCAGGGTTGAAGAGGTTAATGAGCAACAAGGGAACATCGCTTGTGCGTGATTTCACACCAGCTGCCCTTTTCTATGTCACGAGTGTAATAGGGGTTTTTGTTAAAGCATTAGCAACATGTGAGAATTTTTGTACATTCAATTTTCCGGCATTGTCTTGTCTTATCACACTAGTAGCATAAAATCTGAATTTAGTTCCTGTTCCTCACCAAAAAGTCACACTGACAAAGCTGGCCTCTGATTGGCGTCTGATTTATGACATCAATAACCATGTCATGAGTTCCTGGATGAACGCACATAGTTATCGCGATCTCCTTTTGGTTTTGTTTTCACATATCTCCAATTGATTACTGTAAACTGAAGTCATACGTGGCAGCTCAGAAAGGACTTTGACCACATACATATTATCGCTGGCAGCAGTTTGTGGTTGAAGTGAATTAGTTTGATTTCTATTGGCCAGTGTGAGTACTTCATTCTTATAGACTTATGGTGCATTAATAATAATTCTGTCTGTCTGTAAGTAACTCTGCCCTCATATGTGACAATTCTTCTTCAAAAAGGTACTGCAATCTTACAAGACATGACTGAACTCATTATTAAGTGAAAATAATTCAATGTCTAAGAATGTATAAGGAACATTCTGAAGTCCACCTCAGAAGACAGAACAGCCACAGCACCCCTACTGGTCAAATAAGTTGATTAAAATAAAAAACCAAATATTTATAACATGCCTGTTTTTAATTGAAAAAAAACTCTAAAGCAATGTTGCTATTAGCTCAACAACCATTTATGCTAAATTGCTCATGAACTAGATTTTTGTACAACTAATTGAAAGTTTTGTTTAAAACGCTGTATTGCCATCATAGAGCAATGGGGCTGAAGCGCTTCTTTTTTCACCTCTATCAGCCTTGACATAACAGCCACAATCCAACCTTTGAAAGATTTTGCCATGAAGCCTCAGCCAGCTTATACCTTCATCATCTGCCGCAGCCTGTACCAATTAGCTTAGACCAGTTTGCTTTGTCTCCCACCACCACCATCTGTGTATCAGATCATCCAGGGTTGTTGTAATTACAGTCACAGACAGAAGCCCATAGATAATGACAATGCTGCTATGATCAGCAGGATTAGACACATGCTCGTCCGCTCGCTTTGACTTGGACTTTTATGGTGGCTCTGTAAGACATCTAAGACAATCAATGAGAAGATGAGAACCTGAGTGACTCTTTGTCCTCTGCTCAGATACACTATCAATGCAATTTCCTGTAACGACTGTCAGGTGTGGTGCAGTGTCTCTTGTTGCAGAAACACAACATGTCAGTGTTGTACTGACTTCTACGTCCAACAGAAACACACTCTCGCAGACACAGACACACTTTTCTTGGTCACAAAGTAGTCATGGGTTGGAAAGAATTACATCTGAAAAGGGAGCACAATTGGGCTCTCCATGCCACACAACTCGCATATTGCTTGCCAAGTAGAGAGTGTTTTTTAGTAAATGTAAAAGCAAGATGAGTAAAAATTTGCAAAAGCAAAATGGCAAGTAGCTGACAAGAAGGAAAGAAATAGTTGAAAGTGGATTAAAAGATAGCTGAAAGATATCGGAAAATAATAGGAAATGAGAAAAAAACATATAAATATTGTCCAAAAACAACATATGTAGCAATAAGGCATGTAGGTAAAATATGGGTGAAGGAAAGCAAATAAAATATTGGAAAATGATGGATTAGTGACAAGTAAAATTTAAAGGTTAAAGTTAAAGAAGATAACCAATAATAAGTTAATGAGCTAGCTAAATATAGCAAAAGTATTTTATAAAAACTCATGGCAAAGGATAAACCAAAGCTTAACATCAGAAAATTAACAAAAATGTAGCAAAGCAGCTATATATATATATTTCATAAGAAATAATTAAATGTTGGGAGAGAAAAAGACAAAGCTCCAGAGCTAACATTTAACAAAAGCTAAATGATAGCTCCAGATGTCAACAGTCATCTTAAGGTTAGATAACGTTGGTCATAATCGTAATGTGAAGATTTTCTGAGTATTATTGGAGCAGCAGCAGTTCAACTCCAGTGACCCAGACGTTTGGAGCACCTGAGATCAGAGCAGCCTCAACTGGAGTCAAAGCTCAGTTTTAACTCTTGTGTTTTTAATGTTTGATCAAGACATAGTTTAACATGTTGTTATCGT